TGATAAACCCTTCGTTCTAGCCGTTGATAGTTTTCTTACTGCCACAGTTAGCCTGACAGAGCAATATACTCTATCTTGTTTAAACTGTTAGTTTAGATTTTTCTATTACTTGTGCCAAACCTAATGCTAACATCATAGGAGTGTGCAAAATCAGTGAAAGAAACAAAACCAGATGGAGATAGAGAGCTGTTGAATAGTCACAGGAGTAAAAAGTCTGAATGTATCAGATAAAGTTAATCTTGAAAGAAAAAGCGGGTTTTAAACTGAATTTTGTAGAGGCAGAGGGAGGTCCATGCAAGTGCAGATGTTCAGAAACAAGTATTTGTAGGGGCATCATAAGAATAGGTAGTAAAGCATTCACCAACATTTCCGAAACCAACTCGTCGCCTCCTGTTTGCCCAGCCTCTACCCTGCCACATCCATCTTGGCCAGAGGAGGAAGCAGGCAGCCTCTTGCTGTTTCTTGCAGTGTACTGTCATTCTCCTTTTGCAGTGGTCCTCAGGCCAGCAGCTAGCATCACTAGGGAACTTGTGAAAATGCAAGTTCTCAAGCGCCTACTGGATCAAAATCTCTGGAAGTAAACTACCCCGCAAAGTCTATGTGTTCATAAGCCCTCTGGTGATTATGATGTACACTGAAGTTTGATCATCACTGTCCCGGGGATTCAGGTCCCAAACCTGCAAGTGCTATTTGTACATTTTTAAGCCTTGATATATGTTGCCATAATAACCTCCAAAAAGCCATGCCAGTTTACAGTCCACTGGCAGTATATGTCGGTTTCCTATATCTTGACCAACACTAGAATCTGCATTTTTTTTTCATATTAGTAAGGCTGAATTTCTGTGTTGTTTTGTTTTCTGGCACATTTTTCTGATGGCATAATCTTTTCTTCCCGGTTTATAGTTTTTATTTATGTTTCTTTATGTGTTTATTTATGTTTAGTAAATGAACGTGTTCTCCATCCAAAAATATATACATAATTCGCCTTTTTTTTTTTTCCAATCTGGTATTTATTTTTCTTTTTAGCTTGAAATAGGGATCTACTTTCCCCCCCAAGTAATGAACAAGTTATCCCAGAACCATTTATTAAAACTATCCTTTCACCGAGAGTTTCAAGTACCACTTATATCATAATAGAATTTAGGATATATATGTCTGTTTCTGAGCTTTTCCTTTACTTCCATTTTCTTATCTGTAAGCTCCTTAAGAATAAGGACCATGTCTGCTTCGCTCATTGCTGTATCCCCAAGGACCAACTCACTGCCTGTAACACAGTGGGTGCTGGATATGTTTTCCTTGGCCAATATAGAAAAATCTTCAAGATGAACATCAGAAACATTTTAAGTCCCCCCCAAAACTAAGATTTTGATTAAAGTATCATTAAATGTATGACATATTGGGAAGAATTGTTACCTTTACATTGTTTTACTATCCGGTACGTGTTACTTCTCCATCATATTAAATTTATTTACTTATTTATTTTAGTCTTACTCTCTTCCCTTAATAGGTGTAATAATTTTCCAAGTAATTCTCTTGGGACTCCTAGGTTTTAAATAACATTATCTATACATAATAATTTAGTCTCCTTTCCAGTATTTAGCGCATTGGCCAGAATTTCCCCTATTAAGTAACAGTGAAAAGAATAAACCTGATCTTGATTTTTACAATGGAAAGTAGGGCCTTTACACTAGAAGGCTTGGGGACAAGACTCGGTGTAGGCTAATGTGACGGTGATTCAGGATAAAAGGAGCAGCTTTGGGGATTTGTATTTAACACCTTGAAGAGTACCTGTCTTTATATTTTAAGCCTTCATTTTTAAGTTAGGTCTGTATACAGGTTGTCACAAGGCGTAGACTGGACTCCAGAACCAGAAGTGATAGCATAAATGGTGGGCAGGCACTGCCTTTCTCAAGCATCAAGTCACAAGCGGTTCTCTGCATAACCAAACTGTGTAGTTATGGTGTTCAGAATTTTTATTTTGGCGTGGGTTTCTACCTTAAAGAATTAATGCCTTCCAGGGTACATTGTCTTTGAATTCAAAGTATGTGAGATGTCTGGGTTTGAGAGATTATTGATTGTTTTGGTAAGAGAAAGAAGGGAATGGTGGCACGTAGATGGGGACTAGAGACAGAACAGAGCACCACAGCACTGCTTTAGGGACTACATGACTTCAGTGTTGGGCATTAATGGATTTTGTTTTAATATCTCAGTCTGATTATAACAAGCGATTTACAAAGATCCTGTCATACAACTTGGAGGAAACCATGTTTATTATGATATAGTTGTGACTGTTAATCGTCCTAAATTCTGTATCACCAACGACTGTATCACTGCATATTTCTGTCCCTAATTGTTGTGCAGATTTGCCCAATTTATAAATAAATATCATTTTTATATTCAGTGGCACAGCTCATTTGGTTGATTGAGTTGTGAATAATTTTTTTAAACATTTGGGAAAAAAGAAAATTGTGAGCAGCCCTCTAAATAAAGTAGAAAAGAATAATAGGTTTATTTGGTGTTGTAATTTTATTTTTAATATGATTGTTCTACCTTAGTTGTATATTCTGTGCAGGTTTCATAAATAAGATATTTGTACAACCAAAGTTTCATTGGTCATTATAGAATTTTCATGGCACAGTCCATCTTTTTGCTCTAGTTTTACTATTGTTCTCCTGGTTTCAGTTTTTTTGATCTCTTACTTGTCCTGTGTGCCTGGCTTTGTGTTACTTGTTTACATACAGTGAATTATAAACGTGAGAACTGGTAAGTTGTTATGCCTGTGATTCAGGAGGAAAGGTAACACTGAGCACAAAATTTTGACCAGTTGTGTATCATCTGCATGGTATGCCTTGGGAAATAGTGTCCTCTTACAAGATAAATTGATACAAATGGATGTTATTTGCTGAATTGACGGTTGTCTAATATTACCCTAGGTTTTCTTTTTGATCCTAAATCTTCTGTTTTTAAAAATATATATTTTAACATTCCATTCCTCTAACTCTGATCCAGTGCAAAGATGTGAAGAGTTTGAAAGGGTTGTTCCTACATAACATGAGATCTTCAACACTGCTAGAAACCAAAGAAAGGAAAAGGGGAATTCAAGTTGTTGAGAGAAGACAGAGGAGACAAAGGTCAGCAAGGATACAGGAAACCAAAGATGAAGAGGTCAAATGATCAGATTATAAGATGTAAACAACTGAATGGCAAGAAGTCTCATACATTGGTAACTTTGCGTAGTAGATACTCAGTATGTGCTATTGAGTGAACAGTGGCATGACCATCTACCAGTCACTTAACTAGCAACATCTTCAATGCCTCCATCTTCCTCACTCCTAAGATCCTATAAGTCACCTTTGCAGTTGACTCTACATCTGAATCAGGTTATAAATCTCTCCTCCTTTCCATTTCTACTACCACTGCTCAGCTTCAAGACTCAATCATCTTTGCTTCCTAAATGACATCCTCTCTTTAAAAGTTTGGACTCCACACAACCATCGGGATTATTGGTCTGAAACACAGATGTGACAAGGTCACACTCAAATTTAAAAACCCACAATGGCTTCTCACTATAGTCAAGAGTCCAGACTCTTGAGCGTGGCGTCCAAGACTTTTTACAGTCAGATCTCATCCTACTAATTCTAACTGGTAGATCACTTTCCCTTCCACATGCTAACCCACCGTACTGTATCAGAGTTTGTCGACACCTCCTGTAGATAAGTGCTCCTGCCTCCCTGTTTTTGTCTAAGCTATTTCTTTTTCCCTCTCCTGGGTTGAAGACCTGTAAGGTCCAACTAGAGTATAATCACCTGCCTTCTCTGAAGTTCTTTTAACCCCCAGCAGATTGGTTCCCTTCTCTGCTTCCATTATGTTTTCTGTATAACCCCTGTTAAACTCGTTTTCACCTCGTATTGTAGATTATCTTTGACAATAGAGTGAGTCCTCCTTAAGGATAGTAGTTTGTCCTAATATTTGTCATTTATTTAGCAGAATGCATAGTACATAAAAATTGCTATGTTCATCATCTCTTTTAATCACCACAACAACCCTATGAGGTTGGTGCTATTAATACAACATCCTCATTTTACAGATAAGTAAACTAAGCTGAAAAGGCCTCACAGCTGGTACACGGCAAAATTTGAATCCCAGCCTAGATCCGTCTAACTCATCAAGTCCATACTCTTACTATTTTGCTGTATGTCTCCTCCCACATCTGTATATCCTCCGTGCCTGCTATCCAGTGGGTAGTCTCTAAGTGCTTATTGACTGAATAAATAATAAAAACTCCAGTTCACACAGGAGTTTGGGTAAGCTGGTCGTGTGATTTCCTCTGAAAGGGAGAATGAAAGAGATTGGTGCACCATTCGTAGAAATAAAATGTTCAAAAGAATCTTCAGAACACATACATACACCAAATAATTCAATACGTTATTGATTGGGTCTCAGAAATGTGCAACTTGGGGAAAAAAAGCTTCATTTTCTGAATATGCTAGCTTTTGTACCTCAGGACACAGCATAGTACTGCACAGTATACAAGGTCTCATACTGGTTTCTGGGAGACTGCTGCCCCCTTACTGCTGTCTCTGTTATGAGCGTGCTCACAAGTCAGATAATCTAATTGAACTTTTACTGGCATAATACATTGCAGAGCTAGCCATAATGCATGTAAAGTTTTGAGATATGGAGTACAGTAAATATAGGAATAATTGGGGTCAGCAAAATTTGCAAAAAAAGTATGTTTTTTTAGTCCATCCTAAATTGAAAAATGCTTTAACTGCCATATACTATTAGTGCTTGTATAAATGTGTACAATATCAATTATGGGTTTTTCTTGAGTTGTCTTAAGTGTAAAATAGTAAATCAGAACATAACATTTAACCCTTAAAAATCTTGCGAGTGAATGTTAGTAAGAAATAGTGGTTTTAGTTAATCCTTTTTTGTCATCTGATTTCCCTTATAAACTTAGTAAAATGTAATATAGATTCAATTTTTAACTTCTCTGTTTTGTTATTTTTCTAGTGTTGTTAATAACAATACTTGTAGTGGAAGGGATTGCTGTGGCCCAAAAGACCCAAGGTAAAGTCGTTACAATGATAACTTTCTGTATGTTCAGGACAGTGGGTGGTTTATTTGAAAGGATTGCAACTTTTGAATACTATTTCCATAATCCTTCTGGGGTGTTCCAATGACCTAAGGCTTTCTGAGGCCTGTCAGCCTCAATTTAACTGTGTTCAGCTGCAGTTAACTAGAATAAATTGTCAACATAAGGTCTTGCCCTGATAAATTTTAAAAATTGCCATCACTAGTAGCTCCTAGCACACTATGGATTTTATCCACAAATTAAATGAGATTCATGCTTTATCACTAAGCAAAAATAAAAATCCTTTTTTCTAATGTAGACAAATGAAACATTTCCATCAATATCTTATTCAAACCCTTTGGACCTGATCTTATTGTCCTTGTTTAGGAAAGAAGATTACCTAGTGGTTTGGTTTTTTGTTTGTTTGTTTTGGTGAGGAAGATTGGCCCTGAGCTAACACCTGTTGCCAATCTTTCTCTGTTTACTTGAGGAAGAGTGGCCCTGAGGTAACATCTGTGCCAGTCTTCCTCTATTTTGTATGTGGGACGCTGCCACAGCATGACTTAATGAGCAATGTAGGTCTGTGCCTGGGATGCGACCTCGGGCCACTGAAGTGGAACGTGCAGACTCAACCACTATGCCACTGGGCTGGCCCCTAGCTAGTGTGATTTTTGAACCAGATTTTCAAGTCAGAGGTTAGTACATTTCCTATATACCTTATTTATTTTTTATTTTCATCAAAGTTATACATACACATGACAAAAATCAAAGCATTCTAAAAAGTTAATTAGGAAAAATCAGTCCCCTGTCCAACCCTACCCCCCTTCATGCTCCACGGAGATAATGACTCTTTTTGCTGATTCTTTTGATATTTCCCTGTATATTTCTAAATAACATACTCTGCTGTTACTTCTTTATTATTTCAGTTTTAGGTATTAGATAATGATTTCCCAGCATTGGAGATGAGAATCTAGCTCCTTCATGCACCCACTCTTCACCCCCAGCTGTATACAGGTCTTCTTGTACTTTCCATCTGTGCCACCTGTCTCAGGAGTTATAATTCTGGTTACATCTGTATTCAGGATTTACATTGTCACTCATTGAGCTTTTTCAATATGAAAATTCTGTCTTTCAGTTTAGAAGTTTTTATTTCTTTTTTTGTTTAATTTTTGTTAATTCCCTTTTCTCTATTTTCTCTGTTCTGTCTTTAAGGAACTCCTGTTGTTTTTTGTTTTCTTTTATCTTTTCTGTTTTCCAGCTCTCTTTTTACTCTGTTTTCTTCTCAGTAGTCTCTACTGGGACTGCCTCAGTTTTATCCTCTAAACTAGGAATTGGAAAACTTTTTCTGTAAAGGACCAGATAGTAAATATGTGAGGCTTGGCGGGCCTTACAGTGCCTGGAGCAGCTTCTCAGCTCTGCTGTTGTGTGGAGGCAGGGATAGAAGTGTGCACGTGGATGGACGTGGGTCTGTTCCCGGGAGGTCGTGTTTACAGGAACAGGCAGCAGGCCAGGTTTGGCCCAGGACCACAGTTTGTGGACCTCTGCTCTAAACTGTCTACTAATTTTTTCATTTCTCCTATTTTTAGAAGCTTTCTTTTGTTTTCTGAATATTCTTTTTTTAGACTATCCTTGTTCTGTGGATATACTCTCTCGTTCTCTGAGGAGATTAAGTGATAGTTTTGTTTAGTGTTATTGGGTTTTTAGTATTTTTTCTGCATAATCTTTGTTTCCTCAGAGTTGCTTTTTTTGTTTGTTTTTTAATCTGTTTTTCATAGTAGAGGCTTTACTCAAGTGTCTGGTGATCCCTGAATGCTCCGATTTATGAGAGGAGCACTAAAATCTGATCATTGGCTGCAAGTGTAGATAGGGCTTGTTTCCTGCAGCCCACACTGTTGAGGGACCCAACATCGGGGAGCCCCTGAGTCTGCATCCTGGGGTCTTTTTCTTAGACCTGGGGCTGATTAGATTCCCCAGGGAAGACTCTCTCCATTTTCTGCTTAGAAGCTCTACATCTGACCAAGAGGCCTCTGGGGAGTTGAGTGAGGGAAGAGACTGGGAGCATCATTCAGTATGTTAATATTCACCTAATCTCCCTATTTTCAGGGTGGTGTTTTCACCCTTGGCTGTGCCTGATGTCCCCTAGTCCTGTGACCCTGTTTTACCTTTGGCAAAGAAATAATCTCATTTTTTGATGTGGTGATAGAGCGGCAGCTACCTAGACTTCTGGAATAGGGGAGGGTATTAGGAATCAAATTGATTCTAAACAGACTTTTAACCAAGCCTCATGTTTTTAAAAAGCCCAACTTCACCACTCTCCCCCACTTCAGAGATACCTACTACTGCCAGTTGTTACTGTTGGTTCTTACAGATTTATGCCCTAAAAAACAAAAAATTGTTTACTGTTGTGTAAGTGGAGTTTGAGGAGGGAGCAGAGCTAAATACATGTATTCAGTCTATAATCTTTAATCTTTGAATCTTATTTGACTTTTGTGTTAAACTAAATATAGATGTACTGTCCAGAGATAAACTCCTGGGATCTTTTTATTTTTATGTCACACTGAATTTAATAGAGTTTTACTGATTTATCAGATTCTCCCACATGGTTTTGCCCTTGTAAAATCTAAGCATTTTATTTCTCTGCTGTCTTACATGGCAGGCTCGTCTCTAGCAGCAAGTTCTTCCAGTAAGCACAGCATACAATCTTACCTTTCCTTCACTTCTGCAGTATTCAATTTGTTGTGCTAAATTTGATAGTGGTTCTTACAAAATTATATATATGTGTAACACAGAGTGCGCAATTATTTGGGGAAGTTGTGGGGGAAAGAGAAGAATGATGTTCTCTTTGCTGTAATTAATGTTTTAAATGCTATTTTTCCCCTAAGATGGACAAAATATTGGAATCAAGCACATTCCTGCAACCCAGTGTGGCATTTGGGTTCGAACCAGCAATGGTGGTCATTTTGCTTCACCAAATTATCCTGACTCATATCCACCAAACAAGGAGTGTATCTACATTTTGGAAGGTATTTGACCAATATCTATCTTTTATTGCATGAATTTTTACTTTATTGTAGAACTAAATACGTTGGTAAAATGCCCTGTTTAAACCAGTTTGAACAAAATTTAAACATGTATTTGAATTAAACTCTAGTAATTATAGATATTTACGAATACTGAACACATTAACAAAATAATAGTTGAAATTTTATAGGAAATTTGAATCTCCTAAAATATAATTCAACTAGTTGCATCAGTATATATGATAAACTTCTCTGGTAAGAAACTTAAACTTACTGGCATCTCTTATTAGGCTTTATGCAAATTTATGTCCATAGTTACAGTAGTTGTTCCTTTCATTTCTTCTGTTGATCATGGTACATCATATCTCATGTACTGAGCATTAGCTTCTCGATTCTAATTTTAATCAAGTACATTTAACTAATTTAATATATAGCATATGCCAAAGAGAAAGATTACTATAGTACTACAGAGTGGCAGTATTAATAGTGTAAAATGTAGCATTTGTGATGAATTTTACATTCTCATTATGATCCTCATCTCTGACAGTAACAGCACGTTTGTTTTGCTTTTCTCACTTATGTCAGGGCATTTATACTCTTTCTTATTTGTGTTGCCCTGATTTGCTTACTTTTATTTTCTAGCTGCTCCACGTCAAAGAATAGAGTTGACCTTTGACGAACATTATTATATAGAACCATCATTTGAATGTCGGTTTGATCACTTGGAAGTTCGAGATGGGCCATTTGGTTTCTCTCCACTAATAGATCGTTACTGTGGTGTGAAAAGCCCTCCGTTAATTAGATCAACAGGGAGATTCATGTGGATTAAGTTTAGTTCTGATGAAGAACTTGAAGGACTGGGATTTCGAGCAAAATACTCATTTATTCCAGGTAATGAAGTTGTCTTTTCAGCGGTTAGGTCTCACTCTGGTTTTAGAATCTTAAGGCTAGAAAAGAGATAATTTAGTAGAGTTAATCAAATCAAGGCTTTAAAGAAATTAGCAAAGTCAAAGGCAAGTCAGTCCATGAATAAATAAAAACTTAACGAAAATTGGAAATAGAACTATATCACTTGAATTTTGAAGTGTATAGATGGTATCACATTTTTTCTTAGATTTCTTCTTTGTCATATATCAAGGCCAAAAACAATAAAATAAATACTTTTAAAAAATAATTGAAAAAAAATTGTCTTATTTTCATAAATCCTACCAAAAATTATTTTGGCAGGTTTTTTCCATTGGAGTGATTGAATTAACCACTCTTCTGAATAAATAGTCTGTAGAAAATATTAAGCAGTAGAAAGAATACTGCTCTACATTGGAGGCAGGAGATCTGGGTTTGGATCCTCTCTCTGCCGTGTAATAACTGTAAGACTTTTAAGCACAGAGTGGTGCCTGGGAGTTGCTGTTGGTAAAGTGGGAATGCCTGCTGTATTAGTGTCCTGAGGCTGCCATAACTAATTGCCACCAACTTTGCGGTTGAAAACAACAGAAATTTATTAAGCCAGAAGTCCAAAATCCAGCAGGCCGTGTTCCCTCTGGGAACTCTAGGGGGGAATGCATTCCTTGTCTCTTCCAGCTTCTTCTGGTGGCTGCCCCAGCATTCCTGAGTTTGTGGCCACATGGCTCCAGTCACTACTTCCATCTTCACATCACCCTCTCTTTTCAAAATTCTTAACTTAATCACATCTTTTGCCTTGTAATATTCACTGTTTTTTTTTTACTATATAAAGTAATATTCACAGGTTTTGAGGATTAGGATATGGACATATATTTGGCAGAGGGGGGGCTCCATTCAGCACACTCTACCTGTCTTACTTACCCCATGGGATGTGAGAACACTTGAAGACCTGCAAAGCCCTGTGCAATGTAAAAGTATGATACTCCTAATGTGGAAACACAAAGATATATGAGTTACTGCTCCTGTCTTCAAAGAGCTTACAAACTAACAAGATGAAAAAGTAACTTAGTGTAGCAATTATACAATCTTTTTGCTTTTGTGTTTTCATGCAAGAAATTTAGTTGAAAAAAATTAAAACATATCCAAATGGAAAGAAAAAATATCCATAATCTTACCACCCTATATATAAAAAACAAGTATTAACAATTTGCTGTATATCTTTTCAGATGTTTTTCTATATCTATTTATTTTGTTTTACATAACTGAGATCATGCTATATATACAGCTATATTACCTGCTTTTTTTGCCTGAACAACATAGTCAACTTTTTTTTCCTATCAGTAAACATACGGAAATTTTTAAGTGTTGCTTCAGTATTTACCTTCTTAATGCCAAAAGGACATTTTCAAGAAGTAAAATTTCTCTAGTAGACTTTATTTTTTAGAACAGTTTTAGATTCACACAAAACTGAGCAGAAAGTATAGTTACCATGTACCTCCTACTCCCCGCCCCCCCCCCCACAGCTACCTCCAAAATCAACATCCTGCACCAGAGTGGTACGTTGTTATAACTGATGAACCTCCGTTGACATCATTATCACCTAAAGTCTGTAGTTGACATTAGGGTTCACTCTTGGTGTTGTACGTTCTGTGTGTTTGGACAAATGTATAATGACACATGTCTACTGTTACAATATCATACAGATTACTGCCTTAAAAATCCTCTGTGCTCCACCTGTTCTTCCCTCCTACTCAACCCCTGGCAGCCACTGATCTTTTTACTCTCTCCATAGTTTTGCCCTTTCCAGAATGTCCTTTAGTTGGAATCATACGATATGTAGCCTTTTTAGATTGGCTTCTTTCCCTTAGTAATATGCATTTAAAGTTCCATCGTGTTTTTTCATGGCTGGATAGCTCGGTTCTTTTTGGTGCTGAATATTTCATTGTATGGATGTACCACAATTTGTTTATCCATTCTATTGAAGGATATCTTGGTTGCTTCCAAGTTTTAGCAATTATGAATAAACCTACATCCATATGCAGGTTTTTGTGTGGACAAGTTTTGTGTTTTTTTTTTTGGTCCAAATTTATTTATTTATTTATTTATTTATTTAATTTATTTTTTAATTGATGTTTTAATAGTTTATAACATTGTGAAATTTTGGGTTGTACATTTTTGTTTGTCCATCACCATATATATGTCTCTCTTCACCCCTTGTGCCCACCCCCTACCCCCATTGCCCCTGGTAACCACAATACAGTTTTCTCTGTCCATGTGTTGGTTTATATTCCAC